AGTTGGTTCCCGAAACGTCGGTTTACTACGGTAACCAGTTGACGCGGCTGATTTCCGGAGAAGATTTAATTGAACGTACCTGATATTCATCATAAAGGTTGAGGGGGGAATTTACTTTAGGTCAGTGTTTGCTTTTTTGCATGATGCTGCAAGAAGAATGAACTGAAACTTATTGTTTGTATTTCCCTTTTTAAAAACAGATGGTTGGAGAGCATCCTAGCCCACTGAGGGGAGGTACAGCTACGAAAATTAAAAAAGAGAATGCAGCAGAGGCCATAACAGACAAGTCTAAAAAAGTAAAATTCGCTGATCATCTAAACCGCGATCATGTTACATAAATGCAAAAATATATAAACAATGCTTTTAAACTCTTTGTTTTGTAACAATTGCTTTTGGCTAGGGTTAAAAAATTCTTCAACATTAGCTTGAATTCTACTTGGGCTACCAGCCATGCCAGGTGGTTAAAAGGCGAAGATACCGTTTCTAGAACCATCTACATCCCTGTACTCAAGGTATGGAAATACCTTGAGGACGAGGACCAAGATGGCACTTTAGTACCCTGAGGACGAGGACGGTCCTCAAAACATTGATGTTTTTACCTTTAAACTATCAGACAAGGCTGGTAACTTGAAAAGAATTCATTATAGACTATTAGCTTCTCATAAAGATGGCAGTCTTCTGGGTTGTAGTGTCATGTGGTCTGGTAAAAGTTTACTAATGTTACACAAGTCTTGCTGCCTCCATCATCACGGTGATAACTGCCCTGATAATGTAAACAATCAGGGCGATTATGACCCTGAAGATGTAGGTGGCAAGGACCCCGAAAACGCTGGTAATCTTCAACCAGACCACATGGCATTGCAACTCAGAAGATGGCTGTTGTTGTTGTTCCTTGGATCTACAACCCAGTTGCGGGTCTTTGCCGCCTCATTTGTTTACCTAGAAAAACTGTGTTTGCTGTTCAGAATAAAAGCATTTGCCAAGTTTGTCTTTGCTTTGTTTGAAAAATCTACATACCGAGTTCCTTTAATTTTTGTCAGGTATCACAAGACAGGAATGTAACTAACAATCTTTTAGTTACTGCAGACAGCCATTTAATAGATGAGTACAACAGCAAAATAATATCCTGTTAATTCATTCTGTCATTTTCCCGTATTCTAGCTCCTCTCCCACTGTACCTTATCCTATAGAGCTAAAGAGCTCAAATCTGAACTGTACTTAACCAAAAAAATAATTGTGATCACAGCTTGAATTAAGAGTAGTAAGGGCTAAGAAAATAAGGGAAAAATAAAGTATTACATAGCTACAGCAGACAAACTATGTGCATAATGTACAGATATATAAAGTTAAGTTGTTCTGAAACATACTCAGGAACAAATGTACAGCTACAGTAATTACATTTAATAAATTGAAACATATTCTAAAAGAAGAAGCTAGCCAGAATAAGGATGGGAAACCATTCTCTGCTCTGGATATTTTTTTTGTGGAACTGAATACTTCATAAATGTGTTATTATACAAACAATTAACGAATTCCACATAATATACATAGTTTTTAAGATCCTTCCACTCTATTCTGAAAACTAGGATACAGTTTGAAAGTTCTGAAGATTTGCTATGGTTGTAAGATTTGAGGTTTTCACAGCGGTGAGTATGAAGATTTCCGTCTTCTGGGTTGTTGCGCCGTGTAGTCTGGTCGATACGATGGTTAGCATCGACCAGACTACACGGCGCAACAACCCAGAAGACGGAAATCTTCATACTCACCGCTGTGAAAACCTCAAATCTTACAACCATAGCAAATCTTCAGAACTTTCAAACTGTATCCTAGTTTTCAGAATAGAGTGGAAGGATCTTAAAAACTATGTATATTATGTGGAATTCGTTAATTGTTTGTATAATAACACATTTATGAAGTATTCAGTTCCACAAAAAAAATATCCAGAGCAGAGAATGGTTTCCCATCCTTATTCTGGCTAGCTTCTTCTTTTAGAATATGTTTCAATTTATTAAATGTAATTACTGTAGCTGTACATTTGTTCCTGAGTATGTTTCAGAACAACTTAACTTTATATATCTGTACATTATGCACATAGTTTGTCTGCTGTAGCTATGTAATACTTTATTTTTCCCTTATTTTCTTAGCCCTTACTACTCTTAATTCAAGCTGTGATCACAATTATTTTTTTGGTTAAGTACAGTTCAGATTTGAGCTCTTTAGCTCTATAGGATAAGGTACAGTGGGAGAGGAGCTAGAATACGGGAAAATGACAGAATGAATTAACAGGATATTATTTTGCTGTTGTACTCATCTATTAAATGGCTGTCTGCAGTAACTAAAAGATTGTTAGTTACATTCCTGTCTTGTGATACCTGACAAAAATTAAAGGAACTCGGTATGTAGATTTTTCAAACAAAGCAAAGACAAACTTGGCAAATGCTTTTATTCTGAACAGCAAACACAGTTTTTCTAGGTAAACAAATGAGGCGGCAAAGACCCGCAACTGGGTTGTAGATCCAAGGAACAACAACAACAGCCATCTTCTGAGTTGCAATGCCATGTGGTCTGGTTGAAGATTACCAGCGTTTTCGGGGTCCTTGCCACCTACATCTTCAGGGTCATAATCGCCCTGATTGTTTACATTATCAGGGCAGTTATCACCGTGATGATGGAGGCAGCAAGACTTGTGTAACATTAGTAAACTTTTACCAGACCACATGACACTACAACCCAGAAGACTGCCATCTTTATGAGAAGCTAATAGTCTATAATGAATTCTTTTCAAGTTACCAGCCTTGTCTGATAGTTTAAAGGTAAAAACATCAATGTTTTGAGGACCGTCCTCGTCCTCAGGGTACTAAAGTGCCATCTTGGTCCTCGTCCTCAAGGTATTTCCATACCTTGAGTACAGGGATGTAGATGGTTCTAGAAACGGTATCTTCGCCTTTTAACCACCTGGCATGGCTGGTAGCCCAAGTAGAATTCAAGCTAATGTTGAAGAATTTTTTAACCCTAGCCAAAAGCAATTGTTACAAAACAAAGAGTTTAAAAGCATTGTTTATATATTTTTGCATTTATGTAACATGATCGCGGTTTAGATGATCAGCGAATTTTACTTTTTTAGACTTGTCTGTTATGGCCTCTGCTGCATTCTCTTTTTTAATTTTCGTAGCTGTACCTCCCCTCAGTGGGCTAGGATGCTCTCCAACCATCTGTTTTTAAAAAGGGAAATACAAACAATAAGTTTCAGTTCATTCTTCTTGCAGCATCATGCAAAAAAGCAAACACTGACCTAAAGTAAATTCCCCCCTCAACCTTTATGATGAATATCAGGTACGTTCAATTAAATCTTCTCCGGAAATCAGCCGCGTCAACTGGTTACCGTAGTAAACCGACGTTTCGGGAACCAACTTTGTCCCCATCATCAGGGTTCTGATGTGACATCAGAACCCTGATGATGAGGACAAAGTTTGTTCCCGAAACGTCGGTTTATTATGGTAACCGGTTGACGCAGCTGATTGCCTGAAAAGATTTTATTAATTTTACTCGCCGCGAAAGTCTTAAATCCTATATCAATTAATTTGTTTTTAAATAAGTTGAGTATTTTTGTGTTATTTTTTGTAACCCAAATTTAAAATCACAAAATATTAAAACATTCTAAATTTTTGTTTAAAGATGCCAACAGTTGATTAAGATTGAAAATATTGGTACATTGTTTGTCATCACTCTTATCTGATGAATCAAATAGTGAATTTTAAAAGGAAGATTACAGTTATGGGACCTGGCTCCGGATAATTAAATTTTAGGTTTTTTCTGAGCTTAGGGATATATACAGGTAATTTATTTGCCAGTTGAATGACGTGCTAACTGCTAAAGAAAGGCCTAGTACCATAGATTCGATTAATTAAATCGTTGGTACCTCTGCATAAGTTTTCACACGTTTTTTCAGAATAGGTTTTGTATATGATCTTGAAGCATAGGCAGCACTTGTTTCTGTAGTCTCGAAAATCTGTAACAAAACAAAAATAATTTCAATCCATCATGACTTCAATTTGTTTAAAAGTGTATGAGATGTATCTCCTGCAGTGGTGTTAAATGGGACATAGTCAGTCATGAGAAATGTAAAGACAGAAATAGCTCTGGGGTCAGTCTTATTATGACCTCTAACAAATTAATCACAAATTCACTACCCATCAGTATTTCTTATTGCTGTTAATATAAGCCTTGTTATAGAAAACATGATTCAAGAATTTGTTTCAGTTTCATCTTTTGTGAGGCAATTTCAAGTCAGAACCATAGTTTGGATTCTCAATGTTTATATAGTTATTAGTATGTTAAGTTCAAGAATAATTGGTATATAAATAAGCTGTCATATTGAACAAGTTCTTACACTTTGCAAATGACTTTATAACATATTTCAGATGTCTACCATCAGCATAGATACTTATTTTGATATTAAATGTGCAATCCCTTATGAGCTTGAATATAACCATTCTTCCATCATGCATAATTTTATAAAGCTGTTTCTTATTTTTATTTGTACCCTCAGTTTCATATGACCCTACATATGTAAATTTATAAGGTTGAGGTCTGTTCACCCTTATGGTCAAGTCTTCAGTTCCCTATGGCCAATGCAATTATTAAGTTACTGATATTTAAGTAACTGCGTCACTTGTCATTTGAAATATGGAGGCGTCCCATCATGCTGTAGGAATATACGTAACTACATTCTAAAAAGTGGGGCAAATCATTCCGCAGAAGTAAGTCAAAATTGACGTATAAGATAGGTTATGGTTATTGTTCTTATTGAACTGGAGAATCTGGAAAACTGACAAACTTTGACTCTAGAACTAAAATTTAAATCCACTTCGCCATATTCCAACGTAATGCAAATGATCGGTTCGCCAAATCAAAACATGTCACAACTTACTGTCAGGCAACTAAGAACATTTTACAGCTTCAAGCCCTGTAACAGTAACTGCATATTTTAGAAGCATATGTTTATTAAGAATCTAATAAATTTAGATTATGAAGATTGGAACTGATTCAGAACAGAATTGAATTGTAGGATTTTCTGAGCATAGAGATTAAATTCATGATTTTGGACTGGTTTATTAATAATAATATATTTGGTTTAGAACTATATACAGAGATCTGTGGCCGCCTAACAACAGGTTTTCACGGCCACAGTCCTTACATACGTAGCACTATTCGCACTACTGCTTACTACAACTATTCACTAATGCTACTCTACATGACTATTCCTTAATCCCTAATACTATTTACATAACTCTTTCTTATTGTGCCTTCTACCCCAGTGGCAGTTCTAAATTCCTAATTTTGACCTGTCTTTTACATCTTACCTTGTACAGAAATTTCCC